GGGGCAGGGGGTTCAAAGGGATTTGAGGAAAAAATCATCTTCATTCAGCAGGTGGTGGGAATCTGGAATGCATTGCCTGGGAAGGTAGTGGAGGCTAGAAAACTTACAACATTTAAAAAAAATTTGGATGAGTACTTCAAATATTATAACACTCAAGGAAATGGGAGAAGTACCGGAAATTGGGATTAGCACACTTTTAGTGGCAGTTATGTTGATGCAGGCCCGATGGGGCGAAGAGCCTTTTCTGTGCTGTATGATCTATAAATCTGTCACCATAAGTACTTTATTCTCAATGCAGTGCTTAGGCAAATAAAGTTTTCTTTTTAAAAAGAATATAAACTAACCTTAAAATGAAGGTAGAAAGGGCCATAATTAACCTGATGTTGAACGTAGTTGTCTATGTCTATTGAATTGAATTAGCTTTATTGTCACATGTAGTGAAAAGTTTACAATGAGCCATTTACAGCATCATCTTAGGTAGAAGATTCTTCAATACACGTTCTTAGGAAAAAAAATTATAAAAATAAAGAAATAAAAAGACCAGCATTATAGATCACAAGAATAAATTAGAAAACATAGAAATAAAAGTTCAGAACAGCAGTCCTTCCAACCCAATCCATGCTAGGCCTTGACTCCAGATGGTGCTGGGCTTCACCTCAAGGCTGGAATACCATTCTAAAATCACCTTGAGGCCTGAAGTCCACACTGAGACCACGCCAAAAGACTACCATGCTGCTGAGAGACCACCACGCCAGGCCAGTGGATCGCCATGCCGGGCCAGGAGGATTCAAATAGATGATTGACATAGTATAGTCAACTAGTCTGTAGAAGTGGAGTACAATTAACGAGTGCTCAGAGTCAGGTGGCAATGTTCACCAGTCAGCTGCTTCTTTCTGAAGGATAGACCAGTAGAGGAGGAAGAAACCCAAATATCCTTTCAGCTGTTTTGCTGTGGGTTGTACACTTTTCTGCCTAATTAACCAAAGTATCATGTCTAACTGTTGCTTCTTAACAAACTTAAATCGTCATAAAATTTGTTATGAACTATCAAAAGTTTATAATTTGGACACTGCAGTCCCAAATCCCAAAACCTAACACTAGTAAAAGCAGGGATCGTCTTCACTCTCTATCATCATGCTAAAAGTTGGCCAGATTCAGGTCAAATCTAAAGCTTATTAAAAAAGTTGTGAGCTGCTCTGGCAGCATTATAATTCTATACTACTACAATTTGTAAATTCAAGGCCCAGCACATTCTGCATTCCTTCATCATGATTCAACTAGAGATGTGGCAAGGCATGCAAGGACCACAATGAGCATACCTTAGAATGATGCATTAACCTGATGAACCAACAGTACAAAACAGCTTTGCGTGCTAAATATCAGAACGTTATAAACATGACTACGGGATTTCACAATAAATAGGCCCTTTGGGTAAAGCTCAATAGCCCCATCAAATCTGTTCCAGACTGGTGTTTTCATTCATATAATTAGGGGAGAATTTTTAAAAAAAATAATAGTATCTGCAATCATGGCAAAGCACAGATGAGTGAGAAAGTGACAAAGCTGAAATTGTAATCACCTTTAACCAAAGTTCCAAAGGAACATTTCTACTGTAGCTCCTTTTGAATACTCCAGCAATGTGGATATTGCTGTCTATCTAATGAGGTTCAAACCATATGATACTAAGAAGTAATCACATGCAATAGATGCAACAAAAGCTATGGAGTCTGACAACTGTTTGCTGATGGCATGTACATCAGCTTTAGCCAAGCTATTCAAATAAAACACTGGATTCTACCCAACAGGTATGACAGAAAATTACTCATGACAATACTATTTTCAAAAAAAAACTAAAAGAACTAAGCTAATCCATTCTATTAGCACTGCACTTTGGGAAATATATAAAGGCCTTAGAAAGGAGAGATGAGGTTTACCAGGATGGTGACCTCGGAAGAGGGATTTCAGTTATGAGACAAGGTTCAAAAATTGCTGTCCTTGAAACAGAAAGGTTATTATATGATGAGGTAAAGAGGGAGAATCAGCTCCCCTATTGATCAGTTGCAACAAATATTTTAAATTTATTTTTGGCACATAGCCAACACACAATTAAAATGTAGTTCATTAGAAAATGAAGGAGCCAATTACCAATGTTTACTTGAGTGAAAGAGGAATGTTACAATTTCTACACCCTAACAAAAAACAGACATCAAACACACACTCTCACAAAACCAGTTATGTGTAAAATAAAGTGCATCTGGTTTAGACAGGGAAAATAAGTTTTACAACATAGCGCTTAGTAACCTTGAGGTACTGCAAACTTTGTTTTAACCAGCATCTTATCAACCGGCAAAAATTATACACCTCAAATACTGTGATGTCCAAGAATTTATGCTGTAGATAAACTACACAACGCCAGGTTATAGTCTAACAGCTTTATTTGAAAACACAAGCTTTCGGAGCCTCACTCTTTCTTCAGATGTTAGTGAGAGGTAGTATCAGACACAGAACTTATAAGTAAAAGATCAAAGTGTCTAAAACACTGACGAGAGTGTACTAAACAAACCTAAGATGCTGTCAAATCTTTAATCAGTTAGAAGGTTTTAATTGATTAATATGTATATGTAAATCCCTGAATTCCTTTCAAATCATTGTCCTGAGAGAACTAAAGGTTTTATCAGTGTAAAGAAGATGTGACATTTTAGGTCAGACAATGCATGTTAGGTCTGAGGCCTTGTTTAGAATCTGTGTTTTGGTTTACAGTCAGACTGGTTTTATTTCTAAAGTAGGAATTTTAAAAATGCCACATTGACTGACTGTCTACAAATTGTGTGCATTTTGGACAAAATACAATGTATGTGCAAATACAAAATTCACCCCATAGATTCAATCCCAGTGGCTGCAGACCTGACTCAGAGATGGGTGTGATCATTGAAGGGCAATCACTACTTTACAATTAGCTACAGTAATACACTGACAATCATACCTAGTTTTTTCAATGCATATATTCTGGGGATAATGCTCAAAATCTGAATTTTAATTGACTATTTTCATTTTCCAAACCCGTATTCTTATATTTGTGTTATAATTCTATAATCTCAAACTTGAACTATTTGTAAAGATTGATCATCCTGCCAATCTTTCATTTTGTTTTCCTTCTATGTTATTTCTCTGTTCACTGAGCAGCAAGTATAACAAAAGCAAAATGAGTTGCAAATACACATGAAGACAGGTTCACATTTAGAAAGGATTTGTTAATATTTCAGCTAGGATCATTAACTAGTGTTGGCAAGTGACTAGCACCTTGATTCTTACAGTTTAGTTCTGCAAATAGCCACTAGGAGGTGCAAAAATACAGCCAGAGAAATTTGGTGCTGCATGTGGTGATAGGGAGGCATTTACTAGGTATGGGTCTGGAATTCATTATTGTTGCAAATTGTACAAACTGATGTACTTAGATGATGCACTTTACAAGAACAGTGCAATACCTTAAAATGCATGTGACTTTTTTTCCTGTGCAGGCTCTTTTATGTCCAAAGATGTGCAGTTTAGGTGGATTGGCCATGCTAAATTGTTCACAGTGTCCATGGAGTGCAAGCTGGGTGGATTAGCCGATGGGAAATGCAGGTGAACAGTGTTAAGGCAAGGGGTTGGGTCTGGGTTGGATGCTCTTTGGAGGGTTGGTATGGACAACCAAATGGTAGGGATTCTATGAGAGATAGTAGGAACTGCAGATGCTGGAGAATCCGAGACAACAAGGTGCAGGGCTGGATGAACACAGCAGGCCAAGCAGCATCATAGGAGCAGAGAGGCTGACGTTTCGGGCCTAGACCCTTCATCAGAAAAGGGATTCTATGATATGTCTGAATGGGCACTGTTGTGGGTTATAGCAAGCTGTCCTGTTACATTTATTATCTGGCTTTGAAACAGTGGCTCCATCACTGTGTCCTCACTGAAATAAATCTCAGTGATAGCTCAGAACTTATAGCCAAATTGTCACATTTCTCTGCAGTAAGATAGCGACAGCAAGAGGAAGCAGTTGCTGTGGAAAAATTAGCTGGGAGGAAGAAGATGATCTTAAGCTTGGTTTGACAATTAGTAACAAAAAAAGGGGAGTCAACCCAGTACATCGTTTACTTTGCATACAATGGGGAATTCATAACTTTCAGACAGTTTGCACAATATTCATACTTTCCTCTCCTCCTCCTCATTTTTCCCCACGGCCATGTTTTACCCCCATCCTCCACTCCCCTTCTTTGAAAGCCATTTCCTTTTCTCACCCACTTTCTGCCCCCTCTTTCCCCCCTGCCCTGACTTTCCCCCCACTTTATTAACCTCTCCCCTCTTTCTATACACCCTTTTTCGGTCTTCTGCCATTCTCCCTCCCCTCTGCTTTCTCCCCTCTCATTCCCTTTTTCCCTTCCATCTACCCCTTTCCTCCCCATCTGCCTTTCATCATCTCCACTTTTTTGTCCTCCTTCCTCTATCTTTTCTCCCACTTTCTTCCCCATCCCTTCTTTCTCATCCCCTTTGTTCCCTCCAAACCCTCATCTCCACCCTTTCCACTTTCCTCACCTCACCCGTCTTTCCCCCCACCTTTCCTCCCCTCACCCTCTTTGTTCACAACTCCCTGTTCTCTTTCTGACTTCCTCTGCATCCCTTTGTCCTACCTCGTCCTCACTTTCCTTCTGCTCTTTATTTCCCTTTTTGTGCCCCTACCCCCTTCTCCCTGTCACCTCACACCCTTATCTCCCCCACTCCTTGCTCCCATCCACCCAGGTGGTGATGGCCTAGAGGTATTATCCCCGGACTGTTAATCTAGACACCCAGATAATGTTCTGGGGACCTGGGTTTGAATCCCACCATGGCAGATGGTGGAATTTGAATTCAATAAAACATATCTAGAATTAAGAATCTAATGATGACCATTAATCCATTGTTGATTGTTGGAAAAACCAGCTGATTCACGAATGTCCTTTAGGGAGGGAAACTGTCATCCTTACCTGGTCTGGCCGACATGTGGACTCCAGACCCACAGCAATGTGGTTGATTCTGAACTGCCCTCTGGGCAATAAATGCTGCCTAGTCAGCAATGCCCTCATCCCACGAATGAAAAAATAAACCCCTCATCTCCAATCCTCCCTCCCCCCACCTCGTGCCCCACCACTGCTCCCCCCTTGCCTCTCCTCTACTCATTTCCTTCCCTGCTCCCCACCTGCCTTCCCCTGCTCCCCACTTCGTGCCTCTAAACCCCAACGCGTCCACCCTAACTTGCACATCCCCCGCCTTGCGCGTCCAACTCCCTCGCCACCCCCACCCACCTCATCACCCACTTTCCCTTGCCAACATCTCGTGCCTCCCCCTTGCACCTCCACAATGCCTCGTGCTGCCCCCTCACACCTTCATCCATCTTGCCACCTCCTCGCGCCTCCACTCCTCCCCGCCGCGGCTCCACATCCTTCAACTCTGCCGCCCCCTCAGTTCTAACCCCTGGCTCACCTTCAGCCCCCTGCTCCACCACCCCCTCGCCTTCATCCCCCGCTGAACCACTCCTCAGCTCTACACTCTCCTCACCTTCGTTTCCCCAGCTCCACATTGCCTCCACCCCCTGCATCATTTCAGCTCTGCCGCCCTTGCTTTCAACCCCCTGCTCCCCATTGCCTCTGCACCTCCACCCCCCCCACTTCCCATCACCTCCACCCCTTCACGCCCTCTCACCTCCACCCACCTCCCTCCACCCCATCTCCTCCCCCACCACCTCGTCTACTTGAGCCTCATCTCCTCCCTGCCCCCTTAACCCACTCATCACCCTCTTAGTCCCCTCATCAGCCCTCAGTCCTCTCATCTCCCCCTCCACCCCTTGCTCCTGCCCACACCCTTGTCTTTGCCACCCCTCTCCAACTCACCCCAGACACTTTCAATCCCCGTCTGCCCCACCGTCTCCTCCACCGCCTTGCTCCTGTCCACCACCTCGTCTCTCACTCCCAACTTGGTCCCCTCCACCTCCTTGTCTCTTCCCCCCCACCTCGGTCCCCTCCAAACCCCGTCTCCTCAGTCCCCTTCACTCCCTCGTCCCTGCCCTCGTATCCTCTGCCCCCTCGCAGTCCGCCCGGTCCCTCGTCTCCGGCCCCTGGTCTCTGTCCCCCTCCGTCACTCCCTCGTCTGCTCTGCCTCCCCAGTCCCTCAAGCCCCCTCGTCTCTGCCTCCGTTCCCCACCACCCCTCGTCTCCCCCGCACCCTCCCAGCCCTCCCCCCCACCCTCCCAGCCCTCCCCCCCACCCCTTCTTTCCTGAACCACCCTTTACTTCACCCCTACTTTGTGCCTTCTCTTTCTCCCACAGCTCCTTCATTTACCTTATTTCTTCGCCTCTCACTTTTCTCCCTCCAAACCCTTTCCTTCCTTCTTTCTCGCTCCCTGAACCTCCCTCAGCCTCTGCACCATTCTCATTCTCATTCTCTCTCTCCACCCCAGGACACCTCCATTCCCTTCCTGTCCCTCTGTCCCTCCCTCCGTCTGTCTCTCCGTCTCTCCACATGGCCCGCTGGGAGCGTTGACGTCAGTTGAAGGAGGGAGGGTACGTTCCGGTTCAGGAACTGGGACCAGAGCAAATCCTGACCGAGACGGAAAAAAGAGAGGGAGAAAGAGAAAGAGGAGATATGTAGGACAACGGCGGGGGAGAGTGGGGGGGGGGGAAACTGAAAGAAAGGGACTGGTTTACCTTTTAGAAACTTCTCCTGAAAGTGAATTGAGAGTAGCCAGCCGGAGAGAGAGGGGAAAGCCGGGCTGGAATCGGGGGTTTAAAAAAATCACTCGATTCGATTAGCTATCGGGTTGAATGCGCGATCTGTTCCCGGCCCTGCCCCCTGGCGCCTGTCACGGTTGTTTCGCTGCGGGTGGCTGGTTGGAGGCGTCCGGCTTCAGGAACCGGGGCAGTGATCGCAGAGAGCCTCTGGCAAGCTCGCCACCCGGATAGCCATCCGAAGGAACGGGGTTGGGGGGAGGTGAGGGGAAAGAGTCTTCGACTGGAACCGCAAGAGCCCCTTACCCTCAAGAATCTTCCACGGCATCCGCGAGACCACCACCACCCCCCGCCTTCGCGTTGCCCTCTCGAGAACCTTCCACAGGATCCGCGAGACCCCCTTCCTCCCAGAAACCCCCTGGAACTGCGAGACGCCCACCCGTTTCCCCGGGAATTATCATTCTCGCCGACCCCCTCAGAGTCCGAGACATGTTTAATTGCATTCCTCTATGGCGGTGCAACCGACACATCGAGGCGGTGGACAGGAGACACTGCTCGCTCCTCGCCGTTCCTGATGAAATTTATCGCTACAGCCGGAGCCTGGAGGAACTGCTGCTCGACGCCAACCAACTACGTGAGCTGCCCAAGGTAAGTGCCGAGACCGCAGTCCCAAACCTGTACTGTATTTATTTTGCTCGTTCGACTTTTCGTGGTTTGTTTATTTAAAAAAAGGTTGTATGAACCTTGTATCTAATCTCCGCTTGAGGCACTTAAAATTGTAAACCTGTATTTATAAGTTTTCAAAAAAAACTGCACTAGAAGTTACTCCGGCAAAAGAAACTTTAAAAAAAAATGTAAATATCAGTGATTTTTACTTTAGAGATCCGGCACTGCCGTCGGTATTTGTCGATATTGGCCACTGTGATTTGTGATTTGTGGTTGGTGGTTAGGGCAGCGGAAATCCTGAAGTGTCAAAGATCTGGCAAGGTTTACTTTTAATTGGCAATATGAGTGACTTACAAGTTAACTTTCCTTCCGGACACATCTTTCATATTCTGTATTGATTTGTCTACTTGGAGGTAATCACACATTTTACACGTTGATTCAGCTTGCGAATATCATTTAATGTCCAGTTATACAAACGGAACGCCTTTTGCACTTAAAGGCAGAATAGTCACTGACTGTTGATATGGAACTAAAGATAGGTTGCTGTTGCAGAAGCTAGAATGATAACAGACAGCTTCCTTATCCCCGGGACTGAGTGTGAACCTTATTCTGACCAAAGTGAAGATTTTTTTTATTTCAAATGATTGAATACAAATTTGCCTCAACCCTCAGCTCCTAATTCCCAAGAATAAAGATGTTCGTAAGTTGGCAATTATGCTCATGTTGCCAGGGAAATTTGTGTGGAGGGTGATATTTTAAAGCATTAAATTTACTCCAAAGTGCTAGGCCAAGTAATGGAAGCTTTACTGTGCATTTAGACGGTGATAGATTCTGATGCTGCTTTCTCAGCATGTTTTATATTGTTGACCTGATAACCTTGAAAAAAAAATAGTCTGAGAGATGTATCACAGATTCCAGACTGAGTCAGTTGTCTACCATACCTGCAAATGAAGTCAACAGGTTAGATTTGGGCTGCAGGCAATGGCAACTAATTTTCTTAATGTGATTGCAAATGACGGTGTTTTTACTGGAAGACTGTGAAACAAAATCTACCAAATAAAGTATAATGTAAAAATTACAGAGAAAAGAGAAACGTTGTCAATGATATTCATCTTGAACTCATCAGGATAAACTTAAGAATGTCAAATTTCAAAGAGACCAATAATTTATACTGTATGAGAAAAGGGTGTTGCTTGGTTGGTAAATAGATTGTGATCAAGGTGTTGTCATGGAGAATGTGCCAGGGAAATGTTCCCCCGTGCTTCTGTTGCATTCTTAGTGGCAATGCTGCGATCAGAGTCAACTTCCTGGTTCACAGCAGCCTTTCCTCACATAGAATAAATTGTTGTGCTGTTTGGGATTTGTTATTTTTGTGTCAGACCAGATGAATACAAGACAGAAAACTTTAACTGCATGAAACTGTTTTCACGAAACTCAAGTTTTGAGCTATGGAGGGACTGACATTTTAAAAAAAACTAAAAATAGATAAAGGCATACTTGAAGAAATTATTGAATTGTTTGAGGGATAGCAGACATTGTAGACTATTGTGATGAGTGATGTAAGTGATTGGGCATTAAGAAAGGTCTTCAATAAGTTGCAAAATGTGGGATCAAGGCGGGAGATGTAGTATAATAGATAGGAAGTAGTTACAAACTGTGGAGAGGTTGTGATTTAAAGGTAATAACTCAAACTAGTAGAAAGTAGGATTTAGATATGTACACAGACACCATTTGTTTACTCTTTGAATCAGCATGTGTGAATGACATGGAAGTATGGTTGATGCTGAGAAAAACTTTGTCAAAGAGACAAAGTGCTTAGTAGTCTTGCAGGAGGATAGATGTGCCAGGTACTAACTGGTGGATCAAGCTCAGGAGTAATTTATTCAGCTTTTACCGATAGTCTAAGATTAGAAGAGCAAATGGAAAATGAATTCACTATAAATCTTGAAATCTGAAACAATTTGGTAGGATGAATAAGAGGACTGCTTCCTCTTTGGAAAATGAGAGTCCAAATGGGGTAGGGATGCAAAGGGATCAAATATTATTAAATTAATAATAGCTGGAAGTAAAACATTTGCTGGAAATAGCAATTCAGGCAGCAAAAGCCATAAAAATGATTGTTGATTTGATGGCAATCATTTAATATGTTGATCTGGTGGCTGCTCCTGGTTACCACGCGGACATTTGTTCCTGTTTCGTCCCTGCACCAATTATGCCACTAAATATATCTTTAGAATAATTGGAAATGGTTAAATAATTTTGCTTAAAAATACAGACTGATATGCTGTTTATTGCATAAATTATATATTATATTATCTTGTGTAAATTGGATCTGAGTTTGTTTAAGACGACAGGTTTAATCCTAGGTCCAGTAAGAGTTTAACAGGTGTTCAGTTAGAGGACTTTGCAGATTGGAATGTCGAAGACCCGAGGATATAAACTGAGAGAATTTTAAGTTTGTTTTGCGTCTGTGGCAAAGTATACTTGTTATTGTAATAGTTCAATTTTTTTTGCTTGTAATATTGAATATTGCCAGTTCGAATGTGATACCATACATTTCAATCTTCACTTTAGTTTCTTCTAAGCTGGTCCTTCTACCATTGTCTTTTTGGTGTTCATACTCAAAACCTCAAAACGTGAGTCTCCATGATAAAAGAGCAGAAATTAGAAGAAGGATGGAGAGAGCCAGAAGCAGTTTTGTGACGAAGATATCTCAACAGCATAAGACCAGAAGGCCACAAGACATTGGAGCAGAAGTAGGCCATTCTGTTGATCAAATCTGCTTCGTCATTCAGTGATATCATGGTTGACTTAATAATCCTATGTTCCCCATTCCTGTCTTATCTCCATAACCTTTGATTCCCTTACTAATTAAATGTTTGTTTATCTCAGCCTTGAACATACTTAATGACCTAGCCTTGACATCCCTCTTGGTTCAAAAACAAGTTCCTCAAAGAAGAAATAATTGTATTTATTTCCCATCTTTCTCTCTTTCTTCTCCTTACCACCTTCTCTACATCCACCCCCACCTACCCTCCAAACTTATTTAGTGATTTTAGAATCTATTAGTGTCCTCTACCATGAAAACTGATAATTATACAAATCCTTTGCCACTTCCTGGTTCCTCATTATTTCCCAACTTCATTTTCTAAGAGGCTGATGTTCACTTTAGCCACCTCCTTTTGTATATTTAAAATAATCCTTATTGTTTGTTCATTTTTATATTGCTTGCGAATTTATCCTCATAGTTCGTTTTCTCCCTCTTTATTTTCTTTTCGGTCATCTTTGTTCACTTTTAAAACTTTTCTGATCCTCTGGTTTACCACTACTCTTACCCTGTTGAGTGTATTTTCTTTCAATTTGATATTATCCTTAACTTGGTTAGCTATGGTTGTTTTATCCCCTTCATAGAATACCTGTCCTTACTGGTATAAATCTCTGCTGTAAGTCAGTCACAAACTATTTTCAGTTTGAAAATAGCAAGAAAACTTAAGCCTGTAACAAGGCAAAAACGCGTAACATAACCAAATTCTATCCACTTTGCTGTATGCCCCAGAACCCACACAGTATGTAAAGATGAGTGGAAGAAATAGAGGCTTTTGAAATGTTGATGCTAAGACATGTGCAGGACATCTGTATGCCAAACAAAGAGGCACTTGAAAATTGCAAAAGAGCAAAAGGAACTCTTAAAAATTGATAATCCAAAAGAAAATGTGTGTTTTGGCCATTTGATCAAAGCTGAAAAGCAATAGATGTCTGTAGAAAGAGGCATTGACCTAAGCTTGATTGGATGATTGATGCCAAAGTCATTGCGGGCAAGTCTCAGTAGATGCATGAGGATGGTGCAAAACAGACAAGCTTGGCATTTCAAGTTGACACATCTTAACAGGACTATTAGCAATTGTATTGAATATCGGTCAAGGTAGAAATTGTGAATTGGAAAACCGCAATTATAACTAGTTGTCATTTGTTTCTTGATACAAGGTTGGGGATCGCTTTTGTTATGAAGTTGGGTAGAGTATTCATGAATTGAAAGGCAGGAAGTTAGAATGGTTGCTTAAAGAAAATGATAATGGGAAAAAGTGTGCCTGGTTTCTTTAAGAGATTGTGCTTTGTCTATGCTTTGAAGTTTACACATACTGTGCATAGAGAGTGCCTGAATTGAAGATCTTGTATCGAACAGCCAAGCAACATTTTTACAAAGACAATAGTTTGAATTTGACCAATTAATTTAAACCAAGCACTGAACGATTCAAAGCCAATTGAATTTAAAAACTGATGGTGTTGACAACCTGAAACCAATCATATTATAAAAATTTGATGTGTCATAGGGAATATATGAGAGGTTTTTTGAAGATCAAGGGGAGAGCCAATTGCCAAGAGACAACACTTTTTTTAAGCTCTCAGAGAATGCACCATCTATTTCATTAAAGGTGCCAAGGCAATTTTAGCTTAGAAGAAATTACGGAGAAAACATCCCTGACAGCAGAATCGGTCGAAGAAAAGTGTTTGTGGAATAATGGAAAAGGCGGAATGTTCCAGAAGGCAGGCTGTGCGAACTTGAAGAGATTAAATTTAATTTATTGATGTCTTATTAATTGGGTTTATATAAGTGGGACTTGTGTTTATTTGAGCAGCATTCCAGTAGAATTTAGGCCAGTTAGGGATAGTTAGTAGTCTAATGGGGAATTGTTGGGTTAATTTGTTCATTGTTAGGGTTAAATAAATAAATTGTTTCTTGTTATTTATAAAGTGGATCAAGGATTTTCTTTCTTTTAACTACTCTTTTAACAGATTTTAACAAGGCGAGCTTCTTTGTGTGATTTGGTGTTTTTCGTTTAATTATCAGAGGAGTTCGGCCAATTCCCCCTCCATAACAAAATTGGGTGCTCGAGTCTTGGATCTGGACAGTTCGTGTTCGGGATCTGAATGGATTTGGACAGATTTAACCAGACTTGGGGATTAGTGTCCTAGATCTTTAA